ATTGCCCATATATTTTTAGTCCTAGTCTTCCCATTTGCCAACAGTAGAATGTGGGCATCTTTCTGTGCCTCCCTGACTCCAAGCTGGGGACAGCAGTGGTACCTATCTCAGAGGGGGCTCTGAGGATGGAATGAGGTCATGTGTATGAAGCACCAAACCGCATCTGGCCTGTGAGTGCTATGTAATGTGTGTTAAATGGTCATCTGACCTTCTGAGGTCTTCCTGGGGTAGGCAACAAGTTTACCCCCCAACAGGGTATGCCTCAGTCAACTTTTCACAGTGACTTAAGTCTCTGCCTCTTTTTCATCTTAAATGTAACCTGTTTTATATCTTCTCTTTCTCTATTTGAGGAGCAGAGGGGGCCTGAGTATGTAACTGTTTGCTTTCCCAGATGAAGTTTTCATTTGAATACTGTTGTTAAGCGTGGGACATGAAAATGAATCTTATTTACTGGTATTTTTTGTAATTCCTCGCCAGCCTCGATCCAGCCAACATTGGATTTTTGCCGAAGACTGGACAGCATCGTTGGGCCCCAGCTCACAGTGCTGGCCTCTGACATCTGTGAGCAGTTTAACATCAACAAGAGAATGTCTGGGTTTGTACTTTGCTTTCTGTTCACTGTCAGGCCTGGAACTGCTTTTAGAATACATATAGTTTTTACTTAGAAATATGGGTGGTATTCACAGCCCTGTGTTCCCATGTAATCTAGAGAACAGAGACGTGCCATTCCAGTCTGTCTGAAGCGGTCCTAGGGAAGCTGACCTGAGCTTTTCTGCCTCACAGTGGCAGCTGGGGCTGTGTATTCTGTTAAATACCTTCCCTCAGCTCACCCCGATTGGAAAGTCTCATTTCATCAGCCCAGACTGTTACATTCAAATGGGCATCAGCATGGTTTTGGTGTGCACAGACTAAAAGCATTTTGACTCTGGTTGTGTGAAGAAAGGGAGGGGAAACTGGCTGGGATGTGGGGCATTGGGTGTGGGTCCTCAGTCTGGCAGTCTGAAGGGTCTAGACTGAGTGGGAAATGCAGGATTCACTCCTCTGATTCTCTGAACACTGAAATGTCATTGAATTCTGTCTCCCCCCCCCCTTTTTTTTTTTTTTTGGAGACAAAGTCACTCTGTTGCCCAGGCTGAAGTGTGCAGTGGCACAATCTCAGCTCACTGCAGCCTCCACCTCCTGGGTTCCAGCAATTCTCATGCCTCACCCTCCCGAGTAGCTGGGATTACAGGCTTGCACCACCATGCCCAGCTAATTTTTGTATTTTTAGTAGAGACAGGGTTTCACCATGTTGATCAGGCTGGTCTCCAACTCCTAACCTTAAGTGATCCACCACCTCAGCCACCCAAAGTGCTGGGATTACAGGCATGAGCCACCGCGCCTGGCCCTCCCTGTCTTTTCTCAATATAAAATAGAGTTAACGTGAGGAGATGGAAAGCACTTTGCGAAGTTACAGTCCTGCTTTTAAATGTACTCTGGATACATTTGAGAAATGGTTAAAATGCTGTGGATTTCTGCATCAGCTCATGTTTTCAGTGTTCATATGTTATTTCTATATGGTCTTACGTAAGTGTGGGCCTTTAAGAGTGCAGAAGCAAGCGAAGGTGAAAGCACTTCTAGATTTTGTACAACAGTGTGTGGATTGCTGCTGTCAACAGTTTATATCTTTGTTGAGTTTTTTGTTGTTTTTGGTTTTTGAGACGGAGTTTCGCTTTTTCACCCAGGGAGGCTGGAGTGCAGTGGCTCAATCTCAGCTCACTACAACCCCCATCCCTAGGGTTAAAGCAATTCTGCCTCAGCCTCTGGAGTAGCTAGGATTACAGGCACATGCCACCATGCCCAGTTCATTTTTGTATTTTTAGTAGAGACGGGGTTTTGCCAGGTCTGCCAGGCTAGTCTTGAACTCCTGACCTCAGGTGATCCACTCAACTTGGCCTCCCAAAGTGCTAGGATTACAGGCGTGCGCCACCATGCCCAGCCAACAGCTTACATCCTGACAATACTGCTGAATCATTGAACCCTTTGGCCATGAAAATGCCAGGTTTTCCTCTGTGAAGGAGGCATAAGTGAGGTAAGTCGGTTTGGATCACGCAGGTTATGAACTAACAGATGGAAAGTGATAAAGTGTAGTGACCATAAAGAACGTGTCACTTGTTTTTTGGGTTTTTGTTTTTGTTTGAGACAGGGTCTCACACTGTCACCCAGGCTGAAGTGCAGTGGTGCAATCATGGCTCTCTGCAGCCTTGACCTCCCCGGCTCAAGTGATCCTCCCACCTCAGCCTCCTGGGGAGCTACGACTACAGGCATGCATTAGCATGCCTGGCTAATTTTTGGTAGAGACAGGGTTTTGCCATGTTGCCCAGGCTGATCTTGAACTACTGAGCTCAGGCGATCTTCCCTCCTTGGCCTCCCAGAGTGCTGGGATGATAGGTGTGAACCACCACACCTGGCCCCACATAGTGTTTTGAAGATAGAACCTTGTCCCTCATTTAAGAAGTTCCTTGTCTACCCAAACTACTAAATTTGCAATTCTTTCCAAACCTTTTAAAATCTTCCTCTTTCCAGTTTTTGTTGTCATTATGCTTTCCTTGGCCTTAGGACCTACTAAAAACGATTTCTGGTTTTATAAGAAGTTTCTTCTCATGTTCCTAGAAACTAAATCCTCCACGTTCTTTCTCTGCCTAGATGTAGAGTATTTCAGTAGTGCCCCACTTGTCCAGAGGTCGGATTTCCGGCACCCCCAGCCCTCCAGAACATGGCCGCTAACCCCAAAGTAAGCAGAGGAGGCTTCTGAGCCCAGGGGCGGGGCTGCACTCAGGCTGCAGCCCAGGCCCCAGGGTGTGCACTGAGGGCACAGCAAGGGGAGGTGAGGGAGGTGCCCTGGGAGCAGCAAGGCCCCACTTTTCCCGCTAGGTCCCGGAGGAGGTCGCAGACTCTGACCTGGGTGGCAATGTCGTGGCATTGCCCTGTCAGTTCAAGAAATAAAAAGGTATATTCCACTTAAAATGCCCATTAGACTACAGTGGAAAAGGTTACTTCAATAACAGTGATTTCCGCTGGGGATGATGAAAAGCTTTGTTAACGTATTGTCGTACGCTTCGGTCATAAGGCAGGTTAATTTCCATGGGACACGCCGTTCATTCCCCCAGCACTGGGGGAGGAATGACATGTTACTCTCCTAAATCAGGGTCGGCAGACTTGATAAGTATTTCAGACGTCATGGGCTGTATGTAGATATATATGTTATAGCTACTCAACTATCATTTTGGCGGGAAAGCAGAAAGCACATGAACGTGTGGATATGGCAATGTTCCAGTGAAACTTTGTTTAGAAAAAGAGGGCCAGATGTGTCCCCACGGTCATAGTTTGCTGACCCCTCCACTTGGGAACAAAGGCCTATATTGATTTCATTTGCATTTTTAAAAAAGTAAACCAATAACTAAGTGACTGCTATTTATAAAACAGCAGTTTTATAAATATTTTTGGTGTTTAAAAAACATAAGCTCTCTGGAAAATTCTGTCTTATGGAATACCTCCCCCCTCCATGCTGCTATCAAATAAGTTACTGTGGAATGAAGAGCCTGTTCCATGTTCACTAACTGAGATTCTTGAAGATCCAGCCATTGAAAATACAAGGTTTCAGCTGTACGTGTTTTAAGAATCTAGTTGTAGGCTGAGCGCCGTGGCTCACGCCTATAATCCCAACACTTTGGGAGGCCGAGGCAGGTGGATCACACCTGAGGTCAGGAGTTCGAGACCAGCCTGGCCAACATGGGGAAACCCTGTCTCTACTAAAAATATAAAAAAATTAGTTGGGTGTGGTGGTGGGTGCCTGTAATCCCAGCTACTCAGGAACTGAGGCAGGAGAAATCACTTGAACCCGGGAAGCAGAGGTTATAGTGAGCCGAGGTCACACCACCACCACTCCAGCCCTGGTGAGAGAGTGATACTCCATCTAAAAAAAAAAGAATGTAGTTGTATCATTTGGATCCATCCTTCCGTTGTGTTACTGTTTTCATGACATGTTTTTACAGGTCTGAGAAAGAACCCCAGTTTAAGTTTATCTACTTCAACCACATGAATCTCGCCGAGAAGAGCACAGTTCACATGAGGAAAACACCCAGTGTGTCACTCACTTCCGTGCACCCGGACTTAATGAAGATTCTCGGTGACATCAACAGTGACTTTACCAGGTGATTCCAGCAACTTCTCCAATCAGGTGTCCCCTTTCTAAGAGAAAAGACATGGAAGTTCCTTCAAAGCCAGATGATCCGGAGCCCTTTCCATGGGGCTCAGCTTGAACCACCTTTATGAGCGCCACTTCCAGACAGACCTGGGAGCCCTGAAGTCACTGGTTCCCTCGAATAGGACCCCCTGAGCTTTTTAAATGCCTCAGGCGCCCGTTCCGTTCCCTGTTCTTGTTTGGAGTGCTTACTTTCACAGTCTAGCCATATGAGTAATAAACAATTGCATTTTGAAACTCTCGTCTTGCAGAGTGGATGAAGATGAGGAGATCATCGTGAAAGCCATGAGTGATTACTGGGTGGTTGGAAAGAAGTCTGATCGACGGGAGCTCTATGTTATTTTGAATCAAAAAAATGCAAACCTGATTGAAGTAAATGGTAAGTCGGATTTGGTATTTTGGAAGAATTTTATGCTGCAATTTAAAAGCTGTCTTTTTACTGCATTAAGAAACATCATAGCCAGGCGCGGTGGCTCAAGCCTGTAATCCCAGCACTTTGGGAGGCCGAGGCGGGTGGATCACGAGGTCAAGAGATCGAGACCATCCTGGTCAACATGGTGAAACCCCGTCTCTACTAAAAATACAAAAAATTAGCAGCTGGGCATGGTGGCGCGTGCCTGTAATCCCAGCTACTCAGGAGGCTGAGGCAGGAGAACTGCCTGAACCCAGGAGGCGGAGGTTGTGGTGAGCCGAGATCGCGCCATTGCACTCCAGCCTGGGTAACAGGAGCGAAACTCCGTCTCAAAAAAAAAAGAAACATCATTAAAAAAACGTAAATAGAACAAATCATGACTGTTGAGATTCTAATCAAGTGCCTCTACTTCATTCATCCATTTTCTGTTCCTTGGGAAACTGTGACAAGACTTTCCTGTAGCATGGGAAACTGTGACAATACTTTCCTGTAGCACAGGAAACTGGACAGTGGCCAAAAGATTTCCTACAATGCTAAAAGAAAAAGATAAGGTGACTTTACTGTGTATTAAAAAAATGTCCCTTTTTTTGGAGACAGGGTTTCTGTCACGCAGTCCAGCCTTTAACTCCTAGGCTCAAGCAGTCCTCCCACCTCAGCCTCCTGAGTAGCTGAGAGCACAGGCGTGTATCACCAAGGCATCCATCACCAAACTCAGCTAATTTTTAAATTTTTTTTGTAGAGATGGGGTCTTACTATATGTTACCCAGGCTGGGCTCAAACGCCAGGCCTCAAGCAATCCTCCGGCCTCCCAAAGAACTGGGATGTATTATAGGTGTGAGCTACCTTGCCCAGCCAAAAATGTGCTTTTTTAATATCCTGTGATAAAAACATATGTTTTGTAGGGAGAATCTGCCAGGTTCACGTAGCCGTTTACAATTATCCCTCTGTACACTGGCAGAATAAGGCAGACGTTTTCTCCCACCTTACTGCCACCAGGGTGGCCAGCCTTGTCCTTGCATGAGGTGACCCAGCAGCTGCTCTGACAGCTCTGCTGCCCTGGAGAGAGGGTGCCTCACCTCAGCAGAGCTGCCTCGCCCTGGAGGTAGGTGTGGTGCAGGTCAGGGGAGAGGCCCACATGTACACTATATGGAAATTCAATGTAAGTGTCTTCCCCCTGCCCCGTATCTTCTCAGGCATACTGAATTTTTCTCTTTATATTAATATTGTTATTATTAGATCAAAATCATGATCCCTCTGTGGAACCCTTGGCCTGCAGTTCAAGGTTGCTGTCAGTTTCTGTGTTCTTATCAGCTCTCCCAAGATGACATCATCATTAGCCTTGTGCGTCTAACCCCCTCACCTGAGCATACTGGGCACTTTTTTCCCCTCTTTTCTGTACTTCTTGTCACAGTGGCCCTCACCTATAATCCCAGCACTTTGGAGGCCGAGGTGGGCAGCTCACCTGAGGTTAGGAGTTTGAGACCAGCCTAGCCAACATGGTGAAACCCTGCCTCTTGAAGAAAAAAAAAAAAAAAAAAAAAAAAAAAAAAAAACTTAGCCAGGCATGATGGCATGAACCTGTAGCTACTTGGGAGGCTGAGGCAGGAGAATCTCTTGAACCCAGGTGGCTGGAAGTTTCAGTGAGCCGAGATCATGCCATTGCACTCCAACCTGGGTAACAGAGCTAGACTCTGTCTCAAAGAAAAAAAAAAAATCTTGCCTGGTCTTCTGGTATTTAAGGTCAAAATCAATGCAAATGTCCCCAGTTTTACTTGAAAACAATTTAATTATATATCATGTAACCTTTTCAGTAAAAGCCTCTCTTCCTTCCTCACTGCTATCTGTCCTTTTTGCAGAAGAGGTCAAGAAACTGTGTGCAACACAGTTCAACAACATCTTCTTCTTGGATTGACTGATAATGGCTCATCGAAAGCATATTGTAAACTCAGCAAACATTGTGTTTACCATTGCTAGTTACTTGTCATATGACTGATTGCGTTGATCACAAGAGTAAAGCAATACTTGCTTTGAAGAATCCAATTTCTACTCGGTCTGCTAATCTGAGGTTTTTAGATTTTAAATATTTATGTGGAATTCATTAAAGGTAGTTGACTATATCTCTTATCATTCCATTCTTTGACATTATGTGAATATTTTACTGGAAAATGACTAATAAATTGTTAAAGTTTTTAAAATTCTGATTTCCTGTTGAGTCTCTCTCCTGTTGCCTATTTGGAGATTACACTGGCCAGCAGGTCCTTGACCCAGACTGGAACACAATGACTCACTGCAGCCTCAACCTCCTGGGCTCAAGCAATCCTCCCACCTCAGCCTCCCAAGAAGCTAGGACCACAGGTAGACACCACCACTCTCAGCTAATTTTTTAATTTTATAGAGACAGGGTCTCACCATGTTGCCCAGGCTGGTCTCGAACTCCCATGAATTCAGCCATATAGGAAAACTGAGATGCAGTGGGCCAAGGAGGTATTTTAAAACACTACAGCGAGTACAATGCTAAGAACTGTAATGCTCAGGAAATCTTACAGCACCTGCTGTCCTAAGCCTCTGTGCATGTCATTGTGGCTCACTACTTCTTCTTCTTCTTGCTGGCGGTGGTCTTGGCAGATGGAGACACAGTCACATCCTCCTTGGGAGGGCCCAGGATGAGGTGAGAGGACGACACGTCCGCCGGCTCCTTGATCACCGTGATGTCAACCTCATAGTCTTGTCTCTTGGCCTCTTCCTCTCTCAAGATAAAGCTATTCAGCCTGAAAGCAAACATGAGAAGGTAGTTCCCCCCCGCCCTCCCCCCGTCGAAATTGTAAAACCAGTTTTATGCTATTTACAGTATACAGCCCTTCATACCTGCATTTCACAATGTATATAAGAAAACTACAAAACTTTTTTTGAGATGAGTTTCATTCTTGTTGCCCAGGCTGGAGTGCAGTGGTGCCATCTCGGCTCACTGCAACCTCTGCCTCCTCGGTTCAAGTGATTCTCCTCCCTCAGCCTCCCGAATATCTGGGATTATAGGCTTCTGCCACCACGGCTGGCTAATTTTTCCATCCCGTCCCCTCGCTGCCATCATCTCTTCATACAAAAAGTCAGGCCAGGCATGGTGGCTCAAGCCTATAATCCCAGCACTTTGGGAGGCCTGGGCGGGCAGGGGAGGGGGGCGGGGGGGTAGATCACTTGAGTCAGGAGTTTGAGACCAGCCTGGCCAATATGATGAAACCCCATCTCTACCAAAAATAGAAAAATTAGATTGGCACAGTGCAAGCACCTGTAGTCCCAGCTAATTGGGAGGCTGAGGCTGGGGAATCACTTGAACCCGGGAGGCGGAGGCTGCAGTGAGCCGAGGTAACACCACTGCACTCCAGCCTGGGCCACAGAGCAAGATTATATCTCAAAAAAAAAAAAAAAGACAGTCATTACCTCAGAGAGTCCACAGGTCTTAGAAGCTCTTGGGTCAAGAACTAGAAAATGGCTGGTTGTGGTGCCTCACCCCTGTAATCCCAGCACGTTGGGAGGCCAAGGCAGGCAGATCACTTGAGTCAGGAGTTCAAGAGCAGCCTGGCCAACATGGTGAAACCCTATCTCTACTAAAAATACAAAAATTATCTGGGCATGGTGGCGCATGCCTGTAATCCCAGCTACTCAGGAGGCTGAGGCAGGAAAATCGCTTCAACCTGGGAGGCAGAGGTTGCAGTGAGCTGAGATCATGCCACTGCACTCCAGCCTGGGCAACAGTGAGACCCTGTCTTAAAAAA